CCTACAAAAGCGATCGGCGAAATAAAAATGTTTAGCTTTTTGCAGCAAAACTGTCTCAAAACTGAAAAAAAACGAAGGACGCCATGATCTGTAGAATATTTTATAGAATCTTTTGGCGAAAACCGCATGTCGATCAATGAAGTCATTAAAAAGCCTTTTGAATAGCAAAATTCGGCCACCACAAATAGATAATAGATGTATGTCGCACGTCATGTATTATATCTTCGTACTCCCACAGTGAAGCCGTGCTTATCGTTGTTACGTAAGAGTTTTACGGCGCTTGCAACCACATACGGTTATATGAGCGCGCGAACAGCTGTACTTTGTCAGCTATGTTCAGACTCGCCTCTAGCGATTGGCCTTAATTATTCAGAAACCTAAGACAAAAGACGACACGGCGAGTCAAGCATGGATCAGGACGAGGAACTGGGAATGAAAAGTAGGTGGGTGGATGGGGTGTCTCTTTCATGTTGATGAAAACGGGTGGTTGGAGGGAGGGCGCCTCTTCTAGATCCCTTTTTTTCGGGCGGGGGGGGGGTTGTGTTGCTTATGTCCGTCTTGCCTTTTCCTTACACCAATTGGCTGCTATCGTGTCGATGTGCTTCTCTTTACTCAAGTAGAACTAATTACTTTTTTTCCAAGCACAAAATTACTTAGGTGAGCTTCGCTTCACTGTCACAGAACAAATTACAGTCGGCATGTACCGAATGACCTCTGTATATTATCGATGTGCCCGTCTTTACTAGAACAGAATGCAGGTACATTTCTTTTCCCCTGCACGTTACGAACATTTTGTTCTTTGAAAAAGTAAATAGTAAATATCCCCCCCCCCTTTCCAACACACACACACACACACACACACACACACACACACACACACACACACACTTACACACACACACACACACACACACACACACACACACACACACACACATACACACACCGTCAACCCCCGTATTCGTTTTTCCGTGCATGGTAGATAAAATATGGATGAACTTCATCGTGCGGTGTATGCGTTGTATTCAGTGTTGACTACTTCAGCCGTGGTGAGTTCTTCGCTTCGTTCCCTTTCGTTTGTTTCTTCTTCTTCTTCTTCTTCTTCTTCTTCTTCTTCTTCTTCTTCTTCTTCTTCTTCTTCTTCTTCTTCTTCTTCTTCTTCTG